AGAGTTAGAATCTTCTTAGGCGAAGGTAAGAGGAGAGAAAAATGCTTTTAGGGAAAATGTGTGTGTGTGTGTGTGTGTGTGTGTGTGTGTGTGAGAGAGAGAGAGAGAGAGAGAGAGAGAGAGAGAGAGAGAGAGAGAGAGAATATGAATGCGCTCAGATGTCATCAGCAGGAAGACCATCCACCTCCTTTAAGAGAGGGTCTCTTTGGCCTGGAGTTCACCATTTAGGCTAGACTGGCTGGCTAGTGAGCCCCAGGGATCTGTTGCCTTCCTGACCTAGGCTAGGAGTCCAAGTGTCTACTCCAACGATTTTCTATCCTGGACTCATTTTATAGACCAGACTGGCCTTGAATACCTACCTCTGCCTCCCGATCAGGATTTTTGTGTCAGTTCTTCTGATTAAAGTCAGGAGGAGTTTGAGCTTTCTCTGAGGGTGCTTTCCAGCTGAGTCAGCCCCTATTCCAGACATGATTCCCTAGAGAGGGCCGAGGACAAGCACTTAGAGGGTGGTTCGTGGAGATACAAATTAGCCTTCAGTAGATGAGAATGTCTGTGGGAAGGGGAGGTGGTTTAGTCTGTAACATGCAAGAACATGAGGATCTGGGTTGAGATTTTCAGCAACTACTAAAAGCCAGGGATGGCAGCACACATCTGTAACCCAGCGTTGGGGGATGGGGTCAATGAGGCAAGAAGATCCTGTAGCTCATTGGCCAGCAGCTCATTGGCCTGCCAATCTAGCAGAGTGTTAAGCTCCAGATCTATGAGAGATCCTGTCTGAAAAACTCAAGACAGAGGACTGGGGAGGTGGTCAGTGTCTCCTGGGCAAACACAAGACGGAAGTTTGTATCGCCAGCACTCCCGTGAAAAGCCTGGCTTGGTAACACTGGGGGGGCAGAGAAATCTGTAACATCCCCCAACTCCACACTGGGGGTAGGGCAGAGAAATCTGTAACATCCCCCAACTCCACACTGGGGGTAGGGCAGAGAAATCTGTAACATCCCCCAACCCCACACTGGGGGAGCAGAGAAATCTGTAACATCCCCCAACCCCACACTGGGGGAGCAGAGAAATCTGTGACATCCCCCCAGCCCCACACTGGGGGCGGGACAGAGAGAGAGGCAGACCCCTGGAGTTTGCCAGCTAGATGGCCTAGCTAATGTTTGAGCTGTAGATTCGGTAGAGAGACCCTGTTTCAAAAACTGATAGAGAGAAAAGAAGAGGAAGGCACTGCCCTCTCTCTCTGGCCTCCACATGTACTGGATGGGCCATTAGCTCTTCTACAGAAGAGGCTTGTTATCTTCCTTCTGGGAGGAGACCCACCGTGAGCAGTTTAGGAAGTTTTGCTCTCTACAGGTTGCTGCTTTGGCTCTAGGAAGGGAAATTTCAAGAGCTTCTCCCCCACCTTGCAGCTATGGAATCTCAGTGTCTCTTAAAATAATCTTTATATCCATTGAATGGGCCCATAGTTGGTTTGATAACACAGTACATAATTTATTAAATTTTGCCCCAACCTTTTATAGATCTTCCAAGTGTTGATAAGAGTTTTTAATACAAAAATGTAAAATCTCGAGCTAGAATGATAGTTCAGCAGTTAAGACTGCTTGTTGCTCTGCAGAGGACCCAGATTCAATTCCCAGCATCCACATAGAGTGGTTCATGACTGCTTGTAGCGCCAGCTCCCAGGCCTCTGTGGCCATCTTCATACGTGTGACATACATACACATAAATAAAGAGAAAACTTAAAGAACAAGCAGACACTTCACCAGAAAATAAAATGGCTAAAATCAGAATACAGAAGCTTACGTTCTATTAATTAGTCACAGGAGTGGGGATGCTGTCACATGCTATGTATTCTCAGGAAAATCCAGTGTCAGTTCATCAAAAAATGAAAATGAAAAAAGTAGATACTTTTTAGATGTCTGTTGTGTCTTGTTCATCTATCCCTCCCTCCCCCTTTCTTATTTTTGGATTTTCGAGGCAGAGTTTCTCTATGTAGCCCTGGCTGTCCTGGAACTCATTCTGTAGACCAGGCTGGCCTCGAACTGGAGATCTGCCTGCCTCTGCCTCCCCAGCTTTAATCCCAGCGCTGGGATTAAAGGTGTGCTCTACCACCACCTGGCTTACTTGATGCTTGCCTCTCTCTCTCTCTCTCTCTCTCTCTCTCTCTCTCTCTCTCTCT